TATCACCAAACCAGTGGACCTCATGCTTGAGTGTGCATCAGAATCCCCTGGGGGCTTTATAAATTCAGTTAGCTGAGCCCCACCCCCAGAGTTTCTGATTCAATGGGTCTGAATAGGGACAAGAGTTTGCATTTCTAGTTAAGTTCCCAGGTGACCCTGATGCAGCCAGTCTGTGGGGCTACACTTTATTTATTATTATTATTTTTATTCCCTCCCTGCCCCCACCCCCCGCCACCTCCATCCCTGACCTACAGATCTTGCTGTCTCCCCATAAAAACTAGATCTCTGAAGGCGGGGCGTCTCTTCCCACGCATTCATGGCTCACCCCCAGGGCCTGAGCTCCACTGGGGTGGAACCCAGAACCTTCTGCATGTAAAGCAGACGTGCTAACCACTACTCTATGGAACCACCCTAGGACTACACTTTAAGAACCACCAACCTACACTTCTGTGGGATTGTGTTTAAACCTTGCTATTTGTCCCTGGGCAAATTTCTTCTTCCTGCTCCCTTAGTCATAAAGTGGGCATACCAGAACCTACCTAGTGGGGGGTGTTGGAGACTGAATGAGAGAATGCACATGCCATCAAGTTTTGGGTATCCGGGAAATGCTCAATCCAGGCCAGCCCTCGGCATCCCCAACACATGGTTGTTGAGGGCTTAGAGACAACAAATAAGTAGGAAGGGTGGAGTTGTGAAGATACCAAGCTTTTAAAGACAAATGAGAAGAAAAATGAACAAATGTAAATTGAGTGCTTTCTGAATGCAATGCACTAATTCCAAACTGCAAAAATACTTTATCACACACACAAAAAAACCCCAGCTAGAATCTTTTATTTCATTCATTCAGCAAGCTAACAATTACTGTGAGTCTGAGGACCAGGCTCTGTGCTGTGGCTTTGGGAAATATAAAGCTGGAGCAGATATAGGTCCTGTTATCAATGAGCCACAGTCCAACAGAAAACAAAAGAAGACAAATAAGGACTAGAGAAAACAAGTCCATTTCACTATTTCACTGCATTAGGAGGAGGAAAGTGCTCACTGTGGCTGAAAAGGAGCATTTAAGACATTGAAGAAATAATGTGGAGAGATGCTTTCAGACAAGTGGGAGATCAGGGAAGCTTTCCTTATTAAAGCACATTCGTCTGGAAAAATAGGTAGCATTCAACCCATGGAGATGACAAGGTAGAGGGCAGAAGGAACAGCAAAAGCACAAACAAGAGAAGGCAGAAAGCAACTTCTAGAAACAGGGTGCAGATCAGTTTGGCTGAACTGCAGGGTGAAGAACAGAGGGTGGAAGCTGAGGCTGGCTTGAGTGTGTGGTGTCTGGCGATGAACGGCCTTGACCATTGGTGGTTGACAGCGCTTCTCTGACCCCATTCCATGTCCTCTGTGGGGTAGGTGCTCAGCACATCATCACGGGCTTGATGATGTTCATAGTGATGTGTAAGAGTCTGCATGATACATGAAGGCCATTCCCAAAGAGCTCCAGCTGCTGCTCAGAGCCTGCTCACCTTCCTGGCATCCGTCGGATAGAGAAGGTCAGTCTCCTGCCCTCCACCTGATGGCTGCAGGATGTGAGCATCTATCCCGGAGAAATCCTCCATGCCACTCTCTGCCCCCACCGCTTACTGTGACCTAATTTAACCTTAACAACCCCTATTCTCCCCATGAAGAACAAGGCTCTGGTGAGCAGTCATCCTGGGGCAAGGGTACTTCTTATCACCTTGTGGACAGAGGAACCTGGAGCTCTGCAGCTATCCAAGAGGGCTGTGGTGCATGCAGCCCACCACCCTCTAGCAAGCCACCTGCCAGCCCAGGGGCTGCCTCTCACCCAGAGGCCCCATCAGGGAGGCCCTAAGCAACCACCTTTGGAGATTCTTCCCTCCTGGTTCTGGACCCAGAACCATGGTTCTGCCAGCCCTAGTTTTCCATCTGACTGGAGGTTTCCTAGCTGGGGACATTTTGCCACCACTGCTCTCCTCAGGTTCTGGTTCTGGCTTGGACTCTGGCTCCTAGATTTGGTCCCCACATTCATCTGGCTCCAAGGAAAAGTTCAGTGAGCACGGGAGTGGCCTTCCTTCTCCTTGGCTTCCTCTCACAGTGAGGCTGAGTGCCAGCATACTCGGCCCGCAGTGTGGGCCCATCCCAACTCTCCCTGCATGGCTTCCTCTCCCTCCTGCTTCAGAGGGTTGCAAGCTCAATGTACATCTGTGTCACCCAGGGCACTCATCACACATACAGAAAGTTGGAGTCAGCAGGTCTGGGTGGGAGCCCAGGAACATACACACGAGCACCTCAAATGATTCCAGCAGGTAATCTGGAAGCACCCTGAGAGACACTTATTTGAAAGAAATTGTTGAAAGACAGGCCTAGTGTTCAAATTAATTTGAGGGAGTCAGATATAACCTCAGCCGGGAGAAAGGAGAAAACAAGTCTTTCCAAAACAGCTCTTGGGCATTTGTTTTCATTCTTCATAGGTCATAATCACTAAGTTTTCTAGGCCAGCTAGCCCCACCTTTCTTTTGCCCTCCTCAAACAGAGAAAACTGGGCCCTGGAGGAACGGTCACTGGCTCAAGAAGCAGAAGGCATATCAGTTAGGTTTAAATGGCTCTCATAGTTTCCTTCTAGAATTCTATGATTGCAGACTGGGCTACATCACCACGAAGCTGTGTGCACTGGGTATAAAGCCCAGGCCACTCCATAGTGGCCCGCTGAGCTGCCAGCTGGGCTAGTATGGCCAGTTGACCTCCCAGGCCTCACCCAGCCTGCCCTTTACACCAGCCTGAGGCAGACATTGCCTGGAATGCCATTTCAAGCTGTCCTGGAAGGATCATGACTCCCTGGCCCCCAGGCCACTGGGAGAGAAGCCTCTCCTTGCTGCTCTAATAGCTCTGGCCTTCCCCGTTACCTCCTATCATGTGGCATGGTTGCCTGCTCATTTGTCCATCTCCCCTGCTAGGATATTAGTTCTTAAGGACAGAGACAATTTCTGTCTTGTTTACATTTATGTCACCACCCCTAGCGAAGTGCTTAGTATGAGCAGACACTCAGAAAATGTTTAACAGCAATGAAAATAAAGAGAACACACACACACACACGCACTAGCAATGACACTTATTTACTAAGTATTAAGAAAAGAGAAAGGGCCTTTGCTTTGCAGTCATTAATCAGTCCTCACAAAAACGCTCTAGGGCTGCGAGTAGCCCCATCTCATAGGTGAGGAAACCAAGGCTGAGAGATGAAATAAATTATTCAAGACCACACAGCTAGTAAGTGGTGGAGCGGGATGGACCCTGCCCATGGGGCCTCTGGTGTTTATGCTCCTATGACCCTCTCCCTGCATTCCATGGATTTGAATTCCACAGCAGAGGGCTGTCCTCAGTCCCGCTGCCTTACTAAGCCTGGCTGCCAGGTCTCCCTGTTCTACCTCGAGGTCTTTGCTAAGTGCCTGGCGGTGAAGATCTCTTAAGAAGAGAGAAGCTGCCTGGGTCCCCCTCCCTCCTTCTGGAGGAAATCTGACTCAGAGCATCACCGGGGACACAGAAATACTGCAGACGTTGAGAACATTGTCAGAAATAAAGCTGTGGACGTCATGAACTCCAGCCTTTCTTTTTTAGGTTTCCTTTCCTATTCCCCTGGTGGGAGAGGGCCACACCCCATTCAGTGCTGGAAGAAACCCCACAGGTCTGGGGGTGCCAGACCCCTCAGAGGACAGTGCTGTTGCCAGAGTAATTTCTCCCAACTGCAAATGGGGAGGCTGAGGGGCCCGGGAAAGAGCCTTTGTGAAAACTGAAGCCAAGTTATAGAGGCCCAGGGTTGGAGGAACCCCTCTCTGCTAGACAAATGGGAGGTGGGCCCACGCAGTGTCCCTCCCGCCCTCCCCACCCCAGTGTGTTCTGGGAGACTCTGAAGCTGGGTTATGTAAGGCCAGTTGTTACTGGCCAGCCCAAGGGCGTTTGCTGAATCCTCCAGGAGCTGGCTAAAGGTTAACAGCCATAGTTTCCAGGAAAAGGGTGAGGGGAGAGAAAGTGGGCCGGGGAGAGGTAGATTTGAACCAAGAGTGACTGAGCTTCAGGAGCAGCATCACCAGAGTCCTCCAAAGTGGGGGTAAAAATAGACAGAAAGTGGAAAGTTGGCCCAGCTGGCCAGGAGGGAGGATGTGCCCCTTGAGAGGATGGACATACAGAGACTACAGCCAGAGTGACCTGCAGTAAACTGCCGCCTTTGCCCAGCTTAGCTCAAGCTGGACTCTGCAGCCACACCGTGTGCTTGGAACTTTCACCACCCAGTGCCTTGCTCCAGGCCCCTTAGGCCTGTATGATCATAAATTCTGGGGAATCCAGATGAGCAGCCCTGAGACCAGGTGGAGACAGGGACAGCAATAACTATGTTCAGGAAAAGTTTAGTCTCACACTGGCCTGCCCACTACGGTTCATATGTGGACTGAAGAATTTATTTTTACCTGGGTAGGTTCGCTTCTGATCCCAGAAATGGCAGGGGCTTTCCATTGGTTTCCATGGAAACATTAGGCAGAGCATCTGCTACTAGATCAAACAAGACTAGGCTGGTAGGAGTCATTCTGGCATTATTTTGCTGTTTCTACCCAGGAAGATGGTCTTACCTGCATTTTTACCACTGCCTTTTGTGTTGTAGAGGGGTCAGTTCAGAGGGGCCGGGGCTGGTGCCCAGGGAAGGAGAGAGGGTTGGCGAAAGGCAAGCATTTGAAGCCCCTAGTGTCCCTTGATGGGGTCACAGAAGCCTGGACTCCGGTTCCAGCCTGCCCCAGGATCAAAGCCAGCCAGCCTGTCATCCAGGAGCCCCTGGGGTACCATGGGACATGTAGGCAGAGGAATAAGCTATCATGTACAGGAGGGAGTTAGACTTGAGGTGTTCAGTTTAACTTTTTCAGAACAGAGGCTCCAACTTCCCTCCAAGGCAGGGGAGGGTGGTGCTGGAGGGCTTGACTCTGCAGTCAGAAAGGAAGGCGCTGGTGCATGTGTACATGTAAGAAGTGGTTTTATTCCAGGTGTGTGTTTCATAAAGACAAGGTCCTCAGGGTCAGCTAGTGGTACATGCTTTGGTCAAGAAGAGGAAAAGCAAAAAACAGAATAGAGTTGAGTCCCACAAATGATGGCTGACAAGTGCTGAGCCTGGTCTGACCGTAGGGAAGGCGGGAGCCTCTTTAAGGCTCTCTGAACAGCAGTCCTCTTACATTCAACCTGAGAAGCCCTTGCTCCCCATCCCCAAAGGTCCATACTGCCCGCCAGCGTGGACATGCACAACGGGATTGCTGTGGATGAAACATCACAATGGAGGACAGAGAAAGTGTGGCCCCCAGGCTGGTGAGTCCACAGGGTACACGCTGGGGCACAGGAGCTCTGCTGAGAGGATGCCGGTGAGCCAGGAGGTCAGAGGAAACCCATGGGAATCCTCCGGGGGGACTGCTGCAGACCAGGAACCCTTAGCTCCTGACCTCAAGGGCTGCATGGAGGGAGCAGGTGACAGCAGTTTAGGCACACCGGGGAGGGAGATAGGGCATGGCAGCTCAGGTGGATGGAAGATCCAATCCAGAGCAGAGGTTCAGATCCTTTGGGGATCAGGACCTCTATAAAAAGCTGGAGAAATCCATGGACCTTCTCCCCGGGGAAATGTATATATGCACACGTGCACTATTTAGGAGGCAATTTCAGGAGATTCCGAGGACCTCTGGAATCCATGAACTCCCTAGGGATCCCAGGCTGGTTTGCTTTGGGAGGGAGACCTCCAGGGGTCCTGGTACCACCAGTCTTTTGCTCAAGATCATACTGCCTGAGCCAGTGGGGTGGGGGAAGAGAAACGTGGGGAATAACAGAAGTGGTTCCAAGACCAGGCCATGGGGTAGGGGGAAAGAGGCCCAGTGGCTGTGAGAAGGAACTGGGAGCTCTCTACACGAACAGAAGCCATCAACCAGAGACCCGTCCACTGTAGTGACTGACCCTCGAGGGCCTCCCTCCTGTAGTGGGAAGGGGTGAGGATGGGGCTTAGCCTGGATGACTTACTCTCTAATGATTCAGGGAGTGTCAAAGCTCCAGAAAGGAGGTCCCGTTCTTACCAGCCTCCCCTACTCCACCAAGACAAAGGCTTTTGAGAGGACAAAAACTACGAACAAGGACAGGGCTGCTCAGTGGCACATGGTGGCTGCCCGTCCTTATGGGGTACTCACGGTGGGCTCAGGCAGGGGGTACAGGGCACCAGCAGGTCAGTAAGGCCCAAGGGAGAGGTCTTGGCCTGACACATGGCCAAACAGAAGTGGGGTCTGTTTAATAAACTGTGCCCCAAGGCTGCCCCGGAAGATCACCCTGCAGCCTCTTGCTAAGAACTTGGGGACCAGAACACAAGACCGGAGGCACAGTGCCCTGGGGTTAGTGCCGCAGGGGGATTAGGTCCCAGGGAAGAGACCCACTCTTTGGGTCTCTGCTGCTCTTCTGTCCATGTCCTTCTGCAAATCAGCCATCCTTTGTCCCAGATCCCATTCCTCCCACACCCAACTCAGCACCTGCCTGGGACAGGCCACTGAGCTTCTCACCTCCTGGGTCCCCACCTGCCCTGCAGGCTGCCCCTCTCCCCCCGGCCTCAGCAACCCCGTCCACGCGGCCCACGTTCTCTTTTCATGCCTGATCTCATGGGCAGGCCCCGTGACACAGAGGGGCCCCTGTGTGGGCTTCTGTCCTTGCTCTCCCCAGCCAACAAGCGGAGGGTACCCAAACCACTGCCTGAGCCCCCAGAAAGGCGAAGGGAGGGGACAAAGGGTGTGGGCATCTGCCCAGTGTGTGCGCAGCAGCGGTCCAGCATCCTGACTCTCCTCTCCCGGGGTGAGGCCGGGACGGCAGCCAGGGCATCGGGCACGCCCCTCTGCGCCCTCCCTGTACAAGCTTTGGAGAATGGTGTCTCACGGCAGGGGTGTTTGCTGATGATTCCGGCAGAAATGTAAGGAGATGGAAACAGCCCGCTTTACACTCCCCCACCCTAACCCCCTTCCAGTCCCGAAGTCTCATGCAAAAGGTACAGGAGGCCCCTGGGCTACCGTCATGTGTGCGGCAACAGCTGCCATTGCTGGGCCGGGGCATCGGCCTGGCACTTGCTGGTCACCAGCTGGGCGGGCTTGGCCTCCAGGCAAAGGCCGCTGACTGAATGCTGAATGAAAGAGGCTTTTCTCCTCCATCTCTGAGGGGAGAGGCAGGGAAGGAGGGCAATGAGAAAACAGTGATTAAAAATAATAATAACGTTTGAACCTTCATTGCACATGTATGTAAATGGCCCTGCATATACCTAGGGGCCCTGTATATACCTAAGACATATCCTTGTTTCAACAGTCTGTCCCTTACACAAGAGGCTTCCCAACCCCACACAAGCTTGAAGCCCGGGCCTCCTGATGCACTCTTGTTCTGTAGTTTGGCATGAAGTTACTCTCCAGATCAGAGGCCCATGGGCTGACTCAAACCCAGAGATGCGTTTTGTTTGGCCTACACAGTGTTTATTTAAAATTTGGCTTAATTGCCACATAAAAATCTGTACTTCCAGCTTCCCTTCAGACATGGCACGATTTCTTTTGTGATTTCAGCTGGTTGGGGCTGATAAGCTGCTCTCCGTTGTAAATGGGCTCTTAGAGTCCCGCCTGACCTTCCCCACCTGCTCCCTGAGTTTGAGTTCTGGACTAGGTGAATCTTTTATTCCTTCAAATAAGATTTCTTCTTCCTGCAGCTCTAAACTTCTGCCCTGGCCTAGAACTGTGCAGCTAGTTCGTTACCTACACTCTTTAGTGGGAACTAGCTGTCATCTCTGCAGAGAGGAAGAACGAGGCCAGCCAGACGGTGGGGGCACTTGAGTCCCCTATCAGAGTCATGAAGGGGCTCCCGGTTCAGTGCCTTCACCTCCTGGTGCCTCTCCTTCCCCAGGCTTGACGAGGGTAAGAAGAATTGTTCATGTAGAACAGTTTGGATGGAGGATGGAGGATGGTTCGGAACACTTAAAACATATGAGAGCCTGGAACCCAGGATTTAAGGCTCAGGGAAGAATAAATAGCTAGATAGGTCTATTTCAGGTTTCTTTCCTATTTCCCCCCATGCATCCCTCTCCCCTCTTTTTATATTCATCTTGTCCTTCTTTAGAAGTAGGAAATGCTCATGACCACGTAGATGGAGCCCAGAGGGCTCCGAGGGGGAGGAGCAGCTAAGAGAAGGGAGGCGAGCTGCAGGCGGAAGTGAGGTAAGCAGAGAAGGGAACCAACCTGAGGTGTGCACACAACGTGGAAGGTGGGGGCTGTGAAGCCTGGATTCCCCTTGGGAATGCAGGGCTGTGAGGTGAGGGGCTGAGATCCAGCCTCTCTGGGCCATGTGGACCAAGCAGAGAGGGGTTCCTGGCCTGAAGGTCAGGGATAGTGGGTGAGACAGGGCCTTTGGGCCCCCTGTTCTTCTAGTCTCTGACCCTACTGGGAGGGGCTGGCCCCACTCTTCTGAGCTAGGCACTGCTGGACTCCGTCCTTCTTTCATCCCTGCGGCCAACATGAGATGCACATTCCCTGGCACAAGTGGATACCCAATACAGTTTTATGAAGAACAAATGCATGCATGAATGAATGAAGGACCCAATCATTAGGAGATGCTTCCCGAATCACAGGATCCTCACTTCCAGTACCATCAGGCACAGTCTCAGGGCCTCCTGACTCACCCAGCCACTCAGTTCTGGGCCTGGCCAGAGAACTAGTGTCCCCTCACAGTACTGTCCCATCTCCACAGTCTTGGCTTTTGCAGACTCCTTGCAAGGCAGGCAGGGGAGGGAGCCCCTAATTTTATAAGTGAGGAGACTGAGGCTCAGAGAGGTGAATGGAGTGATCAAGCTGGGACCTGCTGACTCTATCACACCTGCAAGAGAGAGCTGCTCATCCCGTCCTCGGGGACGCAGCTGCCCAGGGTGCTGCGGGGGGCCTGGCAGGACTTGTAGGAGCAGAATGAGTGGGGACACGGGAGCCCTATGAGCCCCTCAGGCTGGATGGAAATGAAGGGGAAAATGGATGCTTTGGCCCTGGAGAAGTTTTGAATGGTGGCTGCCGTGGGAGCTCCCTTGCCAAGAGCTGCCACCCCTAATGCGTGTACCCCTGGGGCTGCTGGCCAGTCAGGCACTTCTCCTGCTGCTGGATGAGATGGTCACTGAACATCCATGCCTGCAAGACAGGCACAGGAGGGAGGCAGGCTGACTCTGTCACTGGCTGCTATGTACCCTAAGCGAGAGACTTCATCTCTCTGAGCATCAGTTTCTTCCTTGACAAGTGGGCCTGACCTGTCTCCCAGAATTAATGGAGTCAGGGTGGATGACAGTATTTGATAAATGGAAAAGGCAGTGCTCGTGTGAGGCTGGCATGACTTGGAAATCCCTGTGTCTGGATCTCAATTCTCCAGTCAGCCAGCAGTCAAGAAATATTTATTGAGCATCTACTATGTGCTGGGTTTCAACTGTGGGCTTAGGCATCACACTGACCTGGGTTTGAATCCCAGCTCCACCCCTTCCCAGCTATGTGACCTGACATACATTTCTTAAATGCAGCAAGCCTCGGTATCCTCAGGGATAGTATGAAGGCCCACACCATTGGGTTGCTGGCAGGATTAGCTGAGATGATCTATGTAAATCTCCTAACACAGGCTCAGCTCTCGGTAAAAGCTAGCACATTTTGCTGTGGTGGCCGTCAGGGGCTAGGTGTCGACAAATACTCCCTGCCCTCATGCAGCTCACAGGCTAGCAGAATGGACATTTAACAAATATCTACCTGAAGTAGTACTTTCTTGTAAGTAATAGACTTGACTTAGATATTGACTTAGGCCCTCGCAGGTCCTCACTCTGGAGGATTTGAATCTATATGTCTCAACCTAGGGCTCCCTTGCCAAGAGCTGCCACCCCTAATGCGTGTACCCCTGGGGCTGCTGGCCATCTTGGCCCAGGGGCCCTCAAGGAGGCTTACCTGCCTGCCTTCTCTTGGATTGCACGCCTGCAGTATGACAGGGGACCCGGGGGAGATGGAGGTGGAGGTGGCAGTCAGGCACTTCTCCTGCTGCTGGATGAGATGGTCACTGAACGTCCATGCCTGCAAGACAGGGACCAGAAAGGCCAAGTCGAAAAGTATAGCGATGGATGGATAGGTGACAAAGCAGATATACTGTGTATTTTGGTAGAATTTTATACAAATAATAGGGGTGGGTGTACGAGCATTCACTGCACAATTCTTTCAACTTTTCTGGATGTTTAAAATTTTTCATACTAAAATATTGGGGTGGGGGAGCTTAGCTGCAGCTGGCCAGAGAGCAAAGGAGGATGTGCTAAGGA